ATTTTCTTCTTATGTCGCTTGATCTCTTTGTAAATGTGTGTTTGAGTCGTGTAAGAAGTGGATTGTTCTTCGTTGAGATTAGTATTTGGGGATATAATCATTGCGCTATGATGATGCATGCTAGTAGTGAGAATTTCTAGATCTGAAGATTTTTGGTGACTTGATAAGACTTTGATTCAAAGACAAACTCAAAATTATCTTCCTTAGTTTTATGATAATCATCAAACTGAAAGGAGACCAGTAATGTGATGATGAAAGATATTGATTACTTTGGCACTGTTACATACTTACTGATGAACATTTTGATGAAAATTAGTTGACTCATGACCCAAAATCGAAATGTTGTGGATGCGCAAATGATCTGCATTCTTCTTTTGACATGTTTGAATATGCTAATTGGACTTATTACTATGGCTGGATCTTACTTCATAGATTGAAGTGAAGACAATGAGGAACTTGATACATGTGATGATCTTGATTCTTAGGTAGAGATTATTCTAATTAGGTTCTGAGTAGTGATCTTCAATCTCCAAAACCTCACCAGATTCAAGAAATTATAATATAATCAACTTCATGGTTCTTGTATTGTTGTATTACACATTGATTCTAGTATGCTTTCACGAAACTTACTTTGAATACCAAGAACTATTATATGCTAGAAAACTGTTGAGACTCGAATTTTGCAGGTATGAATCATTGTCCCATCTACTAGGAAACGATTACTTTCTTCATGCCTATGGCCCGATCTCTGTTCAGGAGGAAGGCTTTCTTGCATTGGTACACAAGTGAAGGAATGGACGAGATTGAATTTACAAAAGCTGAAGCAACATGAAATTTAAATATATTTTGAACGTTTGTGATATATATATTTGTCTCTACAATGTTTTATTGAATGTACAATGTTCTAAAATAAACTTAACTTTAAAAAAATACAATTTCATTATTTTTTATTTTTTTTAGAACCTCTCTATATTTACTACCTATAATCACAAAAATCAACAACAAAATAAATTGGAGTTCTAATGTTAATCCCAATATAATTAATATTATAAAATTCATATATTACCCCAACATATATACTACCTATAATCATGCTGTTAAATGGTTTTTTATAATGTAAATTAATTTACACGTGGAAAGAAAGTTATATACAAGCAGAGAAAGAAAAAGATAGTAGTGCAATAAAAGAGATGGGACTACACATATGTAGACAAGAAAATCTTTGAAGACTAAAATGGACTGCTCATTTAATCATGCCTTCGAGTTGTTGCTATTGAATTTATATTTTTTGGCTTTATTATATGTGTTAATAACATAGACAATGGGGTTCAAATACAACTCTTTTTTATTTACTTCCAACGAGGACCCGTCTTTTAACTGGCTATCATTCGCCCAAAGATGCAATGATGCACGAGTATGTAGAAGTGTGCAGTTGATGTTATAAGTTTTTAGAAGTATGTAGAGCCGTGCCTGAAGTTTTAAGACCGTAGGCAAAATAAATAAATAAAATCTCAACGGTTAGTAATTTATAATAAACATAATATCAAAATCGAGATTAATGTTAAAATATTAATAAAAATATAATAGAAAATATAACCAAAGTAATTTATAAAATAATTTTTTGATAACAGTATTATTTAAAATGAGAATATGCGTATAGATGAAAGTTCAATATATTAAAAAAAATAACTAACGAAAAAAGAGTTAGGTAAACAAATATTGAAACAATGAAAAACCAATAAAGTAAGAAAACATATACAATGGACGTGGGGTAAAATACAAGGATATAATAATGATTAAAAAAATAGAAAAACATAAGTAACTTTGAGAGTATAAGTATTGGTGTTTGGGGATAAAATTTACAAACATCTTTACCATCAAACCACGTATATAGGGTCTAAATGGTAACCGCAGAATTTTTGCTGAATTTACTGAATTACTGTTAATTTTTTGTAAAATTTGCTGAATAATATCAAATTTAAATGATAACAGCAGAATTTGCTGAATTTGCTGAATTTTCTTAAAACAGTAATTACTGTTGAATTTTTGCTGAATTACTGTTGAATTGCTGAATTTGTTGAATTTTTAGTGATTTTTTGCGGAATTTGCTGAATAATGGGTCTAAATGGTAACG